TGTGTTTATCGCACTTCTTTTTGTATTTTCACATCGATTTGAGGAGACAGAATAGAAGGGTTATCAGCTCGTTGTAAGATTGGATGATACTAAAATACTTAGTTAATAAGAAGTTTTTTTGGCAAATGAATGAGAAGCTTCATTTATTTTCATTACTGGAAATTCCTCTCCTTTGACTTTGGTCGCGATCGAAGACGGCTTAAGGAAAACATTCTGCCGATACGAACCAGTAAGACCAATCAATTGAACTGATTTCACTTTCTGTACTTTAGGTTGTCTGAAGATAGTGTATATAACCTTAAAGCTGTAATTTCAGTTTTCACAAATTCTGATACAAATTCTATTGCAGTGACAAACTGCCCTGACGAGGTGACGAGAAGTGATGAGTTATGATCCGAAAGTAGGGGGTATAAAATTACTTCATCAATGCTCCGCACTTCATCAGGCGTCAAAAAATAATTGCCTGTTGAATAAGTCTAACGAGTCAGATAAATAGCTTGTTGAAGGTAATTGCTATGATTGGCGACTGAAAACCACCTTGATCGACGGGAAGAGAGCATAGAGCTTATAAGATGTAGATATTGTGACCAGATTTTACCATTTACCATGACCAATGCAATTTTTTGCCTGCATAGGGGCAAAATGTTGGGATTAGGGCAAGTCGGCAAATTGTGCTCGAAATGCTTCAATTGACCAGCACCATTTTCAGATGAATGCCAAATAAAGACCTCTGGACGACCAGAGGAGGCAACTGCAGTACGCTCGGTACCAAGCGGAAATGGGACAACTGACAGTGAGTTTGGATTCCTTGCTTCAATGCCGGTGGGCCGCACAGATGGGCTATCCTATTGGCTCCGAAGACATGAAAGCTCTGAAACGTAAGGTTGAGAAAGCCGAATGGTGCTATCAAAATCCAGAAAAAAAAATCAAAATCTGAGCCAGAAAAATTCCTAACCGGAAAGAAACATGCCGAGATTCTTAGACAATTGCACTTAGACTCTGTTCGCTTTCTTAATTTTGACAGATGCCCCATCGGACCCGACTTCATCTGTATTCCGCTTTTATACTTATAATAATTTCGTTTTGCGCCCATTATAGCGTATGTGAATACAGTACGACGAATGAATCTCTGAAAATCACTGCGAGAGCTATTCCTAGGAACATGCGGGAGTGATCATTCTCCTCAAGACTTTCCTCCGGAGTGTTGTGAAATGTTCTGCAACCTGGATAGCTTTTCAACATGGTTCCCCCTCCTCCCTGACGAACGTAATCTAAGGTCGTACCAGCACTGCGGTCTAGGGCTCCCGGTTCTGTTCAACACGAGAAATACAAACATATGCTTAGGAAGAGCTTTAATTGGAATTATTATATGTCTTATACCCGACACGCTATTACGCGTGTTTTTTCGTCGAAAAAATAATGTGACATTAGCAGCAGCACAAAGATGTATGATATACAGAAGGGATCGGCACAGAATAGACCAGAGGATTGCGGACATCCGATAAAGTCCTCAGTCAACAGTTCAAGGGAGATTACATAAGATTACAATCCAGAATAAAATGAGTTGGAAAAATAACCTCGAGCAAAAAGATTTTGATCTCTTTGTTCTGCCCTTCATACCCTCCAACGGAAACTTTTTTGGTGGAGCAGACTTCGCTAGCAATAGAAACAAGCTTTTACGGAATTTCACCTTGTGTAAAAAGTCGTGGTCCGATCGTGTTCTTCATGATTTTTGCTCAGGAAAAAACCAATAAGAAGACTATATACTAGGTAAGAAGACGTCTGTATTAGCCAGGTNTCCTAAGTCCATCGTGGGAGAGCTTCGAAATTGTGACTTATCATGGATAATGTGGGCCCACATGATCAACTCAGACAGCCTTACAAACTGCTCATTGCGAGAAGACAGTCGCACGTCGTTGTTGAGATTATCACCGCAAAGAGCACGAAATTGGAACATCGCTTTCCAAGCAAACTTTTTATCTCTCAGATGATATCGGTGTAGCATTGAAGAAAGTACATAAGTGTAACTGGCCACTACAAACATGAATACTACAACTTTGACTACATCCAGCGAGTACCTTTTTTCACTGAGCACTTAGGGCAGATATTCAATGGTTGGCTACTCATGTCAGTATGGTCGTCTACGTGACCCATCTGAGAAGAGGAATTGCTGATATCCGGCTCAATTTTTTGTATAGCAGGTGTGTAAGAAGTGGTTAACTACAGAAAAGTTCCTAGCTCTCAAAAAAGACTACTTTGGAGCGGCAGGGTAAGTAAAGGAAGGCTTCATCAAATACATGAGAATCTTTTTCTATAAATTCATTTCTGATCTCGGTCACAGATTACTTCAGAAATAGCAGGTACATGTAGTATGCAATTAGTTTCTTGGGAATCACACCTTCCGTGACTTAATCTACTAACTTTTCTGCAAAAGATGAAGATGATTTATAAAAAAGTATGAAGTCGCAAGACGTCGTGTACTCTCTTTAGTCATTCTTCGTATAGAGTTACGTGTTCTACATAACTCCCGCGCTGATTTTTTGTGCCGTTTATCTAGTGTTTTTGATAATCGGTTCGATGAATTCGATAACTTCCCCAAGTAGGAGAGCCTTGTTTTCTCTTCCATTTTTTCCATATCTTTCGATGACAATCGGTAGAGGTAACAGCTTGTTTACCTTTTCACCTTCCCTTTTTCTCTCTTTTCTATCTTTTCTTTTCTTTTTTTCTGATTTCTTCAACCTACCTTGTGAATTTAGGATAAAAGAGCGGATAAAGCTCGTGTAGTAGTAATCCCTCGGTAAGAGTAAGGTGGTAAGGTCGTAAGCGGAACCTTTTGTTCGGTGATTTCATGCACGACTCGGCTGATATCTGAATAAACTTCCCCAAAAACTGTAAAGTTCTCAATTCGCTACCGACTGAAAACAAAGAATGGACCCATCCGCAACATTGGGTATGCTGAGTATTCGATTGTGAAAACAATCGCACAGTTTCTATGCCCACGGAATGAGATGGAAGGCCGACTAGTCGTGCCTCAGCCCTCTTTTTATGATTCAAAGCAGTTTCTTCCTACAGATTGTTCAAAGTAGCGCCCTCCCAATGAAGTTTGTATTGCTTACTAATTGATTTCTTCACTAATTAAACACCATAGGTTTGACTTCCTCACTGCTGCAGCCACGCCCACTCTGCGTCTGACGTCAGTGCTCTCCACAATCGCCGTACCACCTCCCCCATCGTGACCATTCAGGAAACCTCTCACGAGGCTCCGCCCATCTCGTGATTATTTTCCATGTTTCAAAGTTAAGAAACAGTTGCAAACTTGTATGTTGCCCCATGATTCTGACTATGGCTTCAATCAGGCCACCTATGGCCGATCACCATTTCTCATAACTCTTCTGCGGGTTTCATATTGCTTGTATAGTACTGGATTCGTGATTTATTGACACAACTTCTGGTTCTTTCGTCAAGGTGCTCATGACTGAATTACTGATTTTCTGATTTTCAGTACCGTCATGTCCGCATTCTCAGTCATTACTTTGCTTTCCCTGCTGCCAGCATTGACGTACGCTTTGAAATGCCATCAGATCGCCACCGCCAACCTCTCAAATCCACCGGAAACCCAGGCTACGGTTTGTCATGACTTTTTTCTCTTTTTAAACAAGTTTGAAGACATAGGAAAATAATTTAGCGAGATACATGCGATTATTTTCCTCCTTGCGTCACCAATCTTGTGAAGTACTGGTCGTGACTGGTACCACCACAAATTCAAAGCAACTCAAAGCTTTCATGAAGAAGCGATTTGCACGGGAAAATTATGAAATTGGGAAAGTTATCCATATTATTAAAATTGCATGATGCAAATTTGAGAATATGGATTTGGTTTGGATTGAGATTTGGTTTGGTTTGGCGATTGTGAATTTATTTTGTAAGTATTCAGTTTGAGGGTACAATCCATGATAAACCTGATTT